ATTGAATATTTTAAGAGTTAAAATAATTTATAATAATATAATTTTTTTGTTCAATATAATGAATTAATCATTTTTCTAAAGACATGATCTAATTAATATTTAAAGAAAATTTCAAGTCTCACATCGATTGGAATAAAATAATTAAAGAGTATATAAGTTGGGGCAATACTTACCTTACAAGTTGTCTGACACTGTTTCGTTCCCTTGATTCAGTTCAAGGAATTCCATTTCTTTCCGACTCCTCACATCATCCGGGAAATATTTTTCGAGAAAAGCCTTCTTGAAGTTGTCCCAATTCAAGTGCACCCCTCCATCAATCATCCTCCGAAGTGCTCCTTCCCACCAAAAGTGAGCATCATCAGTAGTCAACATGAAGGTGGCCAACTTCACCTTCTGAGCGAGGGGACAATCCATAACGTTGAAGATCTTCTCAATCTCCGTTAGCCAATTCATAGCAGCATCTGGGTCATATCCTCCTTTAAAGGTAGGTGGGTGATTTCGTTGAAATTGCTCCAACCAGTTAGGAGCGACTCCATCCCTATTGTTATTATTCATAGCTTGTGCTAATGTTTGAAGAGCATCAGCAATCGCACGATCATTTCTACCAGTCATAGTCTAAGAAAATAATACAATTAATAAACATAATCAATCATCATACTAGCATACCAACAAGTTTCACAATCAATTCAGTCCATCATTTATGTACCAAATAAGCATAGTAAACCAAATAAGCATAGTAAACTCATAACTCATGGTCGATTGGATCGACCTGCTCTAATACCACTAAATGTGACACCCTCTACCCCAACATTAATAATCAATAAATGTAAACAATAAATTTTTTTTTCTTTTTGAGTAAATAAAATCTTTCATAGTTTGATAACATCCTTCATATATAAAACAATTGTCTCAAATATCATAAGGTAGAAGATTCACATTCGTAATTCATAAATCATAAAAAAATTAACATGTAAGTATCAAAACTCAAGAAATCATATAAAAAAAATATAGATTAATTCCAGTTAAGGTGACAGTGTCTCCTAGTTAGGAATTAAATTATAACTTCTAAATCATGTAATAAAAATAATATGACAAAGATGCATATTTTAGCATTTTATCAAGGACGTTCAAAATTACAAAAGAAAGATTACAAACTTTATTTACGTTATTTATTCGCTAGAAATTACAAAAGAAAAGAAACTAAAGTTATTAAAACAATAACATATTAGATTAAGCTAGCTATGCCCCGATGTCATATCCTATCATAGCATGCCCAACTGAAGCCTTAAGCCTCATCACCAACATCCTCATGATGATAATCGCCTGCAACATAATTTAAACATATACAAAAGCAACAAGGGAGTGAGAAACATCTCACTCAGTTTCAAGTAAAGAAATAAAGGTTAGATAGCACACACACGCACAACAAATATAAGTCACATGTAAATAATACACATAAATAATCAATATCACAAATATACTCATTTATCATGCTATGATGTCATGGACTTGACTCATAAATGCATGCATGTGGCGCCATAAGGAAGTTTCACAATTCATCATCACTGGTGACCCTAAGTCACACCTGGTTACATCCCTGGTGACCCTAAGGTACACCTTGTTAGCATGTTACAACTGTCGGTGACCCTAAGGTACACCTTTTTAGCATGTTACAACTGTCGGTGATCCTAAGGTACACCTTGTTAGCATGTTACAATTGTCGGTGACCCTAAGGTACACCTTGTTAGCATCACCGGTATGCGGCCTCAGCGGCACACCTAGAATAATATATACATATGATGCATGTCATACATTCATTATTTCATGGACTCAACATTTTGACTTATTACAGAATTTCATTTAGTACATCATGTCATTATTTTTCATATTATTATAATCACAACTTGTCTCAATAGTCCATTCTTAGGTCTCATGTCATTTGTCCATATTTCACATGGTCATGTCATAAATACTCCTCATAAGGTCCGCACAGGAATTCACAGAGATCCACAAAAAACATTCTTATTCATATTAAAACTTATTTATTTTTAACATTAATCACATATTCATTTATTACTTCCAACAAGGAACAAAGTAGAGCAAACAAAAAATAAAACATAACACCAGGCAAGGATTGGGGGCCAATCCGACAATCAAACTATCCAACAATTATCCCCACACCCCCGAGCGAGGTTTCTCACTCTCCCCCTTACCTGGATAAGCAGGAGCTAGAACTTGGGCAGGACCTCCTCCTCTGGATTCCCTCTTTCTTTCCCTCTCTTTCTTTCTCTTTCGTTCTCTCTCTCTCTCTCTCTCTCTCTCTCTATCTCTCTCTCTCTTTCTCTCTCTAAGATTTTACCTTCTCACTCAGTATAATTTTTTTCACCCCCCTGCCTCCTATTTATAGGCATCCTAGCGCACCCGGAACGGCCCGTATTGAATTCTGAACGGCCTGTTCCGGATCTTTTGAAGGTATGCAAAATTTTCAACTGGAACGGCCCGTTCTGGGGTCCATGTTAACACACATTGACTATAGTTGGAACGCCCAGTTTCTAGCTAAACTTTTTAGGCGTTTTTAGAAATCTGGAACGGCCGTTTCCCTTTTAGAACGGCCCGTTCTGGAGAAATCAAAATTAGCCTCTTTTCTACTTTGGAACGGCCCGTTCCACTTTTGGAATGACCCGTTCTGCTACTTCAAAAATAGTATATTTTCTTTGTTTGGAACGACCTGTTCCAATTTTGGAACAGCCCGTTCTGGCGTAAAAAAACTATTTTATAAAAATTTTCATAAACAATTTAAATTATTACAAACCTTTAAAAAATACTTTATAAAACCCTTTTAATTAACTAAAATAACTATATACAAGATATTCTTCATAAATATAAAAATGAATAATAATTAATATTATAATAGTAGTAAATTCAGGGTGTTATAGAGACTTATAATCATAATTGATATAGATGTTATAAATTTCAAAATTTTGCATTATTAACTTTTAATAGAAAAGCCAAATTAAAGGGATAATTACATTTATGAGTTTATAAAAGGATCTCTAGCCTTGCCTATATAAAGCATGTGATACTCCATTGTTTTACACACATTCAAAAAAGGCAAAGGATAGAAAACTTTTCTATTCTTTCTCATTTTTCTTTCTATAATTTGTTGTGGATTTATTTGTTTGTGATAATAACGCTGCAACTAGAGGTATATTTCCAAATTATTCTCTATATTTTTGTTCTTATTCTATAATATGTACTAAGGACAAATGATTAAGTAATGGATATTTTTATTATATTCATCATAGAAGTCCAACAAAGTTTACTCAAAAAAATATATTAGAATAATGGTGAGAAGTTGAAGTGATATGAACAAGATCTTAAGTTCAAATCATGTTACTATCATTATAATTTTGACTAATAAAAAAATCCTTAATTAATAATTAAATAGAGATACAAAATATTCATATATTAATGATGAAATTTAGTAAAGAAAAATGAATTTTTGTCATTAATATTAGCTAGTGTCACGAAATTTTTAGTAATAAATTTTAAAAATTACATATAAATTATTTTATTATTGATGTTGTTTTGGTCCATGAAACCTTCTAATGGTGAATCTAAGTCAAACATCTTGTGCAAGACATTCATTATTAGTTGCTATTTTTCTTTGTTTTTATCCGTTATATAATACATGTTTGTCTCATAACATTGTTCCTAGTACTTAAGGGTGGCACATGGGTGGATTGATAATTCTTTAAGCCGATTATAATGAATTGAGTAAAAATAATCCATTAATTCATTTAGATTCGTTAAAAGTTTACAAAAAAAATCCAATCCATTTAAAGCAAAAAAAATCCATCTAATCCATTCATAAAAGTAATATTTAAAAAATAATTTTTATGTTTTAAAATATTTTATTTATCTCACTTTTCTTTATAAGTCATATATTCTTATATGGTCTTTTAAATTAACAAAACACTTTTTTATGTTAAAATAGTCTTTTAAAATTTCAATTCATTAAACATATATTGTAATCCAATAGATTGTGAAAAAGTAGTGGATGGATTACTAACCATCCATAAAACTAAATGGATGGATTGGATCCAATCCATTATTTATTTTTATTATAATGGATGGATCGGATGGATGATGGATAAATGGATTCATTTGTCACCCCTACTAATAGTGTAGGCAATAGCAGACCTACATTATAGGTGGATGATAGCGTGGATGATAACGATGCCGAACATTATCAAATAAACTAGTTTTCCCTAAAAAAGTTGTAATATAGGAAATCTAGGTCATAATCCAAAATCACAAACTATAGGAACATGAATTTTATCAATAATTAAATAGGGGAATTTTTATCGAACACTTTCTACGCAAAAGTTATAAACTGAAAATTAAATTCAAGAATCACAAATTTTAAAATCCAATCGAATAAAACATCAATTCAAGTTTTGATTATTGCAGTATATAAGAAATATGTAATCTGAATTCCATCATTTAATATTTAATTCGAATTATAGAATGAAGAACGCAATCGTGCTCTATGAAAACCATACGAAGACAAATTTGTTTCGTATTGTTCCAGTCCAAATTGAATCCAATTCGGTGTTCTAAAATTAATTCAAATTAATTTTTTTCTTCAATTAATTGAAAATAAAATACATAATCATGAATTTAATTGAGGAACAGAAAAGAAGAGAAAAGAGGAATTTGGATTTCAGAGGATTATACCGCATAACCGAAAACTTGAATCGATTAAGAGAACTTAGCCGCACATCTCCATCATTATCCATACACAAATTTGTTCAGAGAGAAGATGAAAAGTCTCGACCAAAATAGAGAGTAATTCGTGAGAGAGAATATAAGAGAGTTGAGAGAAAATGAGAGAAGCTTCTTGAGAAAGAAATCTCAAATATGAAAAATGAGGTAAAATGTTTTATGCAAAGAGTCATTACATGAATTTAAAGACAAAGTAATGGGCCTAAACTAAGGTCCAACCCACTAATTACACTCCTAAAGCCTAATTAACTACAACTAAAGAGTTTCAAGACAAGCTGAAAATTTCAGTGCAGGGCCACGAGCTTGAGGCATGATTCTGGGCCTGAAAATGTTTGAACTGGGTTTTTCTCCTTACATAGAAGTTGTATATCTCCCTCTTATCTTTCCTGGGACACCAAGTTTTCCCAAATTTGAGTTGTATGACTCCAGATATGGCCTGCACAAGAAACTGTGTCAAAACAGAAAATTATTACGAAAATTTAGTAAAATTTACAACTAAATCCTAAATGACTCACTAACACAAATCTAAACTAATACATGAATATATGACACCAAAAGAAATCAAATAAGGCAAAAGCATATAAAGAAAAATGTACTAAAATATTACTATTAGTGGGCAAATATACTCCTCCACTTTAATTAAATTATTAATGTATATTTTAAAATATTGTATTTTATACCTCCTAATTTTATATATTGAATCTACTGATGATTGTTTTTTAACATTTATGTTTTATTCTTTGTATATACGATGATGATTATTAATTTTATTTTTTTAAAAAAATATTGTCCCTACTAGCTAATTTAATGTCTTGGATCCACCA